GTGTGTGTGTGTGTGTGTGTGTGTGTGTGTGTGTGTGTGTGATGGGAGATAGGTGTACTTTCATTGCATACAGGTACAGTAATATATATCTATGTTATAGAGTATTGGAAATATCAACGAATCAATTCAAGAAAGCTTTGATACAATCTCCATATAGTTTGGTACAAGAGGTAAGTATCGGCTGGTATTAGTCCAGTTCTTGGAGCACTTTATTTTTTTATTTGATCGCAATTTTCATTTTTTTATTTTTTTTTATTTGTAATATGTAACAGTTATTGCGCTCAATGAAAATTCCTAACGACAGACCGAAGAAGCGAGACTTTAGAGCCCACGGGCTTATTTGCCCGTCACCCAAGACTCGTACAGTATTCGGGAAGAGATAGGGGGGGGGGGTGGGGCGAAGAAGAGGGACAAAGTCAGAGGAGCGAACGAAATAAGAGAGAAGAAAAATATTATGCAAACGAGCGAGCGCCGACGTGAGCAGAGGGGGTGGAGCAGAGTAAAAGTGGATGCTGCGGGGGAAAAGGAAGAGGATAAAAGTAGTGGAGAGAGGAAAAACTGTAAAAGTGCGCGCTCTAGCAAAGAGAAGGGGAAGGAGGGGACAGCTGAGAAAAGCTTGGCCCGAACTTTTGTACAATGTGCCGGGGCAACTTCCCCCAGAGCGCTGCAATTAATACAACAGAAGGGAGGAGAGCAAAGTAGTCTAATAAGCAAAGTATCGTAATTTTCTTTCCCTTCGTATCCTTTTTTTTCTCCGTGCTCTCCTGTGTTTTTCAGTTTTTTCTTTTTTTTATCTTTCACGTTTTGGGGTCACGGATTTTTTTTTTTTTTTTTTTTTTTTGCTTTGCTCTCGCACTCGGTACACGAGATTGCTGTTGTTGTTATCGCTCGTATTTGAAATATTAATGCACGACTTCCTGACTTTTTTAACGCAATGAACCTCGTTTATTATTACTTTATTGCTGTAGCCCATTAATCGACGTGGAAAATGTCTTTTGTTATCTTGCACCAACTTTTTTTTTTTTTTCCCTACGATTGGTAATGCGAACTAAATTTCAAAACATGTGTCCCTCCTGGAAAACCTATATTTGTATCAGTCAAAAAAAAAAAAAAAAAAAAAGTCTCGTTAATTATCGCACACACGGACAGCACGTATATGTATGTACGATACATATTTTTACCTAACGGAGGAAGTGGGGCAAAAAACGCCGTAATTAAAAGACGCGAGGAAGAGTGGGCGAGCACAATTGC